TGGGGGGCAGCAAACAAGTAATTCTGGTGGAGTTTCACGAACGATCTTTCTCATGGCGTTCCTATCTTCTTGTTTATGAAAATCCCAACCAGTTGACAAGTCTGCAGATAGGCATGTCAAACCATGTTTGGCAGCTTCCAAACCAAAACGGGGTGGTGAAAACACTTCGATGATGTCATATGGCCTTGACTTGGCCTGCAGAGGAATTCCTTGGATCTGTGCAGCAAGCTGGCGGCTCTGCTTTGGTGTCCACTGCATCAGGAGCGCCTCATTTTCATGCAGAGATTCATTCAATGACTCGACATCAACATCCGGACGAAATTGGAACACAGTGCGACCGGTCCATGTACTGGCATTTGACTTACCCCTTATTCGGTTATCATCCCATTTATCACACTCTTGAGTCACTAAATCCCCATTATCCCACACCTTATGTGTACATCTATTCGTGGATAAGGACGACAAGGGGACAGGACATTGGCTGTGATCAGGGCGAAAGGCAGCAGATCTACTCTTGACATGGTGACGGATGACAATCTTCTCACTCTTCCTAACTTCCCAGAAATCTACCTTCTTCCTACGGCTACGGCTGATTTGAACCGAGGAGCATGGCAACGCAGGTGTTTCGGCGTTGGAGGAAACACTCGGGCTCTCGATCACTTCACTGGGAAACTCCGTCACACTGATGACATGTTGACCTGCTTCATTGCAGCTCAGGGGCACCTCTACTGGACCTTGGCGAGAACTTTCAAACAGCTGCAGTGAGTCACGACCATAATCTACTTTGGCGTCCAACTTCTTCAGGGCCGGGCGAGACAACAACAAGGGCGCATCTCCCTTGACTATGGCAGCACGCACAATACCCCTCCTAGAGGCAATGCAAACTGGCATCTCAACTACCCGCTTGGAAACTTCTCGTTCACCGTTTCCATACCTGAAAACATTAGTCTCACTATGTTCGGCAGCTTGTTGAATCTGCTTTCGATTCCAGATCTCTTGAAAAGAGGCAAGAGTATTTTCACCGATCAACGTACGGCCACACCCACTGTCTAGTACTGCATAGCCAGGGCTACTCACCAGTAAAACCTCAGTCGATGAAATTCCAGCAGTACACACAAAGTGTTCATCTTGTCCTAGAAGTTCAACGGATCCTGCAGCTGACTCCTTGTGTGAATGGCCACTTTTGCTACCGGCACCCTTACCACCAGACTTTCCAGAACCAGCAGCTCTCGCGTTTTTGCAATCTTTGGCAAAATGCCCCAATTGATTACATCGCCAGCACTTGGAACGCTTCTTGATCTCTTCAATGTCCACTCGGAATGACTTCCGAACATCTTGAGCAGCGGAGAACCTACGATTTTTCTGAAGACGGCTGATCTCTGCCCTCTTCTCCTTCCATGTTGCAGCCAAGACCTCTTTGGCCTCTTCTTCATCAAGCTCTGCACTATCGGTCAAATCTTCCTGAGCTTCAAGGCCTAGCTCAGAAAGCAGCACATCAAACTCATCGGGCTCAACTTCACCTGGGGGACCTTCATCAAGAGGAGCATGACTATCTACCATGTGGGCACCATATGATCGTTTCTTAGGAACTGTATAGTCAGGAAAGCACGACCTCATGGCTTGGGACACCTCAGCGACCTTCAAGCTTCCTTGACAACGTGCTAGCACCACAGCTCGCTCAGAATCGCTCATGCCACTACAAGTTCAGCATGATCCAGCCTTTGGCCTCATCTGGAAAAGTGACGCCAGATTTTCGTGAGCATCGGTTGAACACTTCTTGTGCTCGGGCACACCATTGTCTCAACTGTTCTCCCTCACGGGCTTTCAGTGCAAACACTTCTGCCACATTTTCACTGATTTGATCTTCACGATCTTTTTCAGGCCAACGTCTATCCAGGAGGTCAAAAATGACCTTCTCCCCTCCCGCCTTGTGGTACTCTTCCTCCTTCAGGTGCTCAACCACCTCCAGGGCAGGCCCCTGGAGGAGCGTCCACAGGAATGATCCTCGTGAATCCTCAGCCAGCTTGTCCATCGTACGCATCCTATTGACTGCCCACAATTTCCACCGGCGATATTCCCTCCAGTCACAGTCCTCACCCGAAAAGTATCGGAGTGAGGCCCCCAATTCACCCATGGCTCTGATCTTCCGCGATCCGTGTCACCTGACACTCGCACAGCACTCACCGACCTACCAAGGCGCGGTGAAAAACGCCTGGAGCACTATTGGCTCCGCTACCAATGTTGGTAGCGGGCCGCACACCCCGAGCGGCCTTTTCGCTCCACATGGGCCAAAAGTCCCTGCGACATGTTCCACCCTTCGACCTGGCTCTGATCTATGCATGTCTGTCTGCCTGCCTGGCTGCCTGTCTGTTTGTCTGTCTGTCTGTGTCTGTGTCTCTGTTTGTGTATGTACGTATGTATGTGTGTGCATGCAGGCATGTATGTATGTGTGTGTGTGTGTATGTGTGTAAGTAAGTATGTGTGTGTATGTGTGTATGTGGGTATGTGTGTATGTGTGTATGTGTATATATGTGTGTGTGTGTGTCTGTATGTATGTATGTATGTATGTATGTATGTATGTATGTGTGTATGTATGTATGTATGTATGTATGTATGTATGTATGTATGTATGTATGTATGTATGTATGTATGTATGTATGTATGTATGTATGTATGTATGTCTTTATGCATATCTGTATGTTTGTTAACATTTATATTTACATACACATATATATATATATGTATATATATATATGTATACATATGGTACCCCCTGCAAGACCCACCCGTTTCCATGTTTATCGTTAAGGGGTGAACATTTACAGTTCCGTCGAGAAAATACATGTTTTTCTATATGTATATGTTTTCATGACGGGTGAAAAAATCGTGAAGGACAGTGAGGGAACACTATTGTATGGTACCCTTTTACCTATAGTATATTTTTTGTGAACATAAATGAACAAATATAGTTTAAAACAGTACATATACATACACAGTTATATATTAATGTATATATATATGTATACACATACACATAATACTTATATTATTATATTGTTCTTTCTTTCCAGCCATCTGACACCCCAAAGCCACTGGAGAGCCAAGAGAGGCAGAGAGGCAAACTTCGATGAGGGAACCTGTCTTGAAAACGTGTTTCCAAATTGCGATTTCCACCTGCATTTTGGAACATGAGTTTTCCTATCAGGAACACGCTAAGGAGGAGGACGAGGAGGAGGAGGAGAAGAAGGAGAAGGAGGAGGAGAAGGAGGAGGAGAACAACTGTGATAAAATCTAACAACCCTCACCTGGCAGGTGGGGAATAATGAAACAAATGAATATCCATTTGGTGAGTACAAATTCAATGATAACATTGATGAAAAAAATGAAAGTACATTTGGAGTCTACAAATACAATGATAATATTGATGGAAAATGATAAAGGAAATGAAAATAAAATGATAAAATAGTTAAAATCATCTGTCCCTGCTAGAGGCTGAAAGATTTTTTATAAATCTGAACAAACAGGCAATATCATTTTGAAGTGAAATCGTTCCTGTAAAAACAAATGTTGTGCATTAAAAAAATGAGAGGGAGGCTGACCTTCTCAAAGGATTTATTGCATCTGACATATTGTATTTTCTGCAAGAATACTGCTACTTATTTAAGGAGATACCTTGTCTTCAAGGCAATGCATTTTGAAGAAGTTAAGTCTTTCCTTGCTATGGTCATACAAGAAAAACGAGAGAAAGGCTGAGCTCCACTAAAGGATGTAGTTCATCTTTCCACACTTATAGTTTTCTTGCAAGAATAGTGTTTTGCATTTAAGGGAATATCTTGTCTTCAAGGCATACTGTAATCTGTAAGGAGCATCTTTTTAACAACAAACTTTCTTTTTCAAGGAATGCTGCAATGTGAATCGACCATTGCACTTTTTCACAGCAATACTGAACCTTAATCACACACTGCATATTGTAGGAATCTGGTGTTTCGAAAGAAATACTGTATGATTGAACGAATTCTGACTAGTTTTCTGAAAGGAAGACTGCACTTTTCCAGAAAGGAACACTGCATGTTTAGAGGAAGGCTCTCTGTTTTGTAGGGGATACTGCGTCTTTTAAAAGGGCTCTCCTTGTTTAGTGTGTTCTTTACTTTTGTCTACTTTTTTCTACTGTTTGGAAAGATACCTTTAGCTGTGTGTATGTTATCCTTGTGGGGGTGTTCATCTGAAAAGGTGGATCTTGGGAGAGGGGGTAGCATATTCATATAAATATATATATATATATATAAATACATATTATATATATAACATTATATATATAATACATATTCATATACTATATATTGTAATTTATATTGTGTATATATATATATGTTATTTCCATTTGTAGGCTCTTTGTCTCTTAGCATGAAGTTGCCTATGTAACAACATATGTAACAGATCCACCCTATCCCAGGATCATCCACCCAGGAGATCCGGCCTATCTCTCAAACATGTTTGATGAAACAAAGGCTCAAAACAACATGAAAGCCAATATAAATATGGCTATGAGTCAAAACCCTGGTACCTAGTGAACCCCAAAATAGCTGGTAAATGGATGTTCATCCCCCTAAAAATGGTATGTATAGGTATTGATCCACACCCATATGAAGCAATAACACTATGCCACTAAGTCACTATGTTTCTAACCATCAAAAGTAAGAATTCAACCATAGTTTTACTGTTAAAAATCAGCCTAGCTAAATGAACCCACCTTTCTATTGTTGAAGAGTAGGCGTATTCAACCATCAAACATGGGGATGAAAACAGCAAGCGTCCAAACACTACAGTGCTACAGCCATCAGGAACTTGACATGGCTCGATCCAAACGAGACAGTGGGCATCTACCTGACTGGACCTGACTCATTGATTTTCCACGCGAACATATACTTGTGAAATGACCTGTTGACAACCCCACTGACCTCCTCCACTTCACATCCCACAACTTCTCCCTGACCCGCTTCCTCAGAAAAGCGCTCGAAGGGTCCAGCTTTTCGCCAGCTCACGCCCACATCTGCATTCTTGTCCAGGTACAGCAAATCCTGGCCACTGGGGTTATGGGGTACCAAAGGAAGCACAAGGCTGATCATGTTGCGCACCCATCCAACTTTGGTTGATAGTTTTGAGCCAATTCCTGGTGGAGGATTAGCAAACAATGGATGCTAAACAGTATACCCGGTATAGCGGTAAATTTCAGCGCCACATGACCCCAAAATTGAGTCGATGAACATGCCAACATGACAACCATTCAGCGCATTTTCGGGGATGTTTGCCAGAGTACCAGGGTTTTGCTGGTTTGTAGGAATAGGCCAGTGATCCCAAGTTAGGTTCAATGGGGAGTCTATCCGACTTGCTCCCTATGGATTCTCACGGCAAGGATCATGAATCACACAGGTTCATCCCAGTGGTTTCATAGCCGGTTCCAGCCATGTCCTTGCATGGGTGTGGTGTGGCTCCAGTCATTGAGTACCCGGCTCTCACATGATTGGTGAAGTCACCATGTGGTCATAGACTTGTAGTTGCAACTACTCTGCATCTTGATCAGTTTCTGTCAAGTCACTGTTCAGGAACCTTAAACGCCTCGCCAACCGGTCGGTTTGCAGAACTGACACATGTCCCTCCATGTGTGGCAATTCCTGGCTACAAATCAACCCATTCGCCCGTCCTTCAATTAGGTTTCTCCCCATGTTTGTTGGCAAAACTCCCATGTTACTTGGGTGTTTACCCCGATTTCTGTTCAATCCTTTCAAAAGCCCTTTTTTCGCTCCAATGGTTAACCCCCCATCCTCATGTCTTTTCAGGTGCAAATCACACACCTGATCTAGATCTTTAGCAGCCTCCTGATCGTCAGGTCCTTTCAACTTCACAGCCTTGAGGAAGCTGAACCACCCCGTGGCTTGGTGAAATGGACGAACTCTCTACCACATTGCAAAGTGTTCTGGCACATCATATACTTGGAACATGTACAAGAATCAGAATTTCAGCCACCCAGGTAGAAAACCGCTTGATTCTACTGTTTGGTTGCCTAAAATTGGTGCGAGGGACTCAGCTTTGGAAGATCAGTGACTTGAAATCCACACCCCACAACAGTCGAATAATAAGGCGCTCTGGTAAATATGCACTATTCATTTTTGTACGGATCCGCAACTCCGTTGGGTGGGCCATGAAGCTCCTTGCAGGAACCACAATGGTTTTCATAACATTGCTGTCCTTAAGATTCCCATAACATCAGCAACCATTCAGCTCGTTTTGCTACCTATTTTCACAGGTATAGACCTGCGAAACCTTCAAGCTGGCTCAAACATATTCTATGAAGATTGCCAGTCTTAGATAGCTCCGCAACAAGCACTTCTTCATAGGATTGTGCTTCTTTCCCCTCTTTTGTGGTATCTATATACTGTCATCAAAACGACAAAAACTGTTGGAAGTCGCTCGACCGCTGGGAGCTTCCACCAGCACCGAATGCTTCAAGCGGAAGATCCACCTCAGATGTCAGAGACCCTTAAAATTCATTCAAATTGCTGATCTTGAGGATACCAAGGCAAGAAAAACGCATGGTTGGAAAGGTGTTGGGTTCCCAGCATAATCCACGTAATATCACATGTACATATGTGTCATATGTGCTCATCTTTGACACCACACGAATGAATTCATCATCCGAGAAATGATCAAACAAAACGACCTGGGCCCTTAATTTTACCAGTTCCAGTGAGGCAAAGAGGCCCAGGACCCCAGAAACCGAAGGATGAGCAGCAAGGAGCTAACCATATCTAGTATAAGTACAGTACTTATTATTGATCAATGAATCAGAAAAATTAAATTTATGTTTCCTAATCAGCTATTCACAGCGGGTATTTTCTGGTTTGGGAAACCCCTTAGACCCGTGAACCCCATGGCCGTCCATGAATTTTCACTGGCCATACTTGATTGGTTGTACCGCTAATCCCTGGTAATAATACCCTTCGCGTGCTGCTTGCGTAAGCCGCCAATTTTGACAAGGTGACAGGAAACCAACACTTTGTCGGTCATACATAATGACCACTATTTCTACTGATGACACATATACTCATTCCACTCTTCACTCATAAGTGTTGGTTATCAAAGGTACTTACCACATCTTACCACATCCATGTCAATAACTAAAGAGATAAATATTTTTGCGGTATCGGTATAATGTATATGACATAATATTATATATATAATATATATATATTGTATATTATATTATATATATATTATATTATATATATATATATTATATTATATATATGTATAGATAGGTAACTATTAATATTCTATGTCCATACATCATTCTTAGTCATCAGTCGAAAATCCAGCATCGCATCGCCCTGAAAAACCAACCCTTCACCACCGCCGCAAATGGTTCTGCGAGGCACCCCCAAAGGCCTAAGTTGGCATGGCGGCAGTGCTCTTCAACCTGAGTTGCGCACAACGGAAAACCTTGAGGTTCCTTACAATTCACTGGGTCTATTCACTATGGTATGTATGTATGTATGTATGTATGTATGTATGTATGCATGCATGCATGCATGTATGTACGTACGTACGTACGTATGTATGTATGCATGTGTGCATGTATGTGTGGGCATGTATGTGTGGGCATGTATGTGTGCACGTATGTGTGCACGTATGTGTGCACTCTCGAATGTTGATCCAATCATGCCATACAAGAGCAAATGGTTGATACATCTTGCCCGGTTTAAAGTGACTATTACATTCACTGGGTTGATTGAAGGGGAGATCTACCGGAATGCAACCATGGCCAAAGCTGGTTGGCAGCTGGATTCGCACTAGGTCTTGATCCCAATCCTTGGAAGTATTCGGTGAGTAGCCCAAAAACTGGGATGATCCTTGAAATTAGGGGGTTTGTCTGAAAATAGGGTATATTCCCAATTATAGCCATTTAATAGGGATAATGATCATTAACCATTGGGTTTAGGGGTACACTATTTTCAGACAAACCCAGGATGCCACAATCTTCAAATTTCTTGTCAGGTTGTCATAGGTTGTCACCCCAACATGGCAGTGTGTCAAAACCCTGGTACCCCTGTAGTTCACATCAAAATAGCTGGGATAAATGGATGTTTATCTAACCCCCTATATTAATGGTATTTTCATAGGTATTGATCCATAGCCATATATCCATTATTAACCATTATTAACCATTGGTATATCCCATGAATCACCATTTTTAATGGGATTCGTTGTGGATTCGTTGTGGATTGAAACCACCAACCGCCCACTAGGCTTCCCGCACGCGTGTGACACGCGGCATCGTGTCCGGCACGAAGGCTGAGGCAGGGCGTGGATACCCTCTGGTTATGTCAAAATAGCTATTGAAAATGGTGATTTATAGTGGATTTTCCCATGAAGAATTGTGATTTTCCATAGTTATGTTAGTTTACCAGAGGGGATAAGATATGAGGTCTGAATTGCCAGCTTAAAGCAATAAACAGAGGGATCCAAAGTAAGAACAACGAGGTGAAAAAATGTGAAAAATGCCCACAAGTAAGCAAAAGGGTGGAAAGAACCAAACACATGTCAACAGTATGAACAAGAATTTGGAATAATGGTGCCAGCCTCGAACTACACACTCATGGCTGGCCTTTGATGCCATTTCAACACTGGTAATTCTTATATAGTCTTGTATCGTTTAAAAAAACATAAAATATATGTCGATAGTTGATAGATGTTGATAGATTCTTATTGTATACATACATATGGTCAGGTGTTACATAATATGGCCAAAACGTAAATAGTGGCCGACAAGATTCCAGAATCTGACGGGTGGTTTAAATCAACCATGATTATGAGACATTGGATAACATAGGATACAACATGATACAACAAATACAGAATCAGCAAATGATGATACGTGATGATAGGTGCGGGAATTGGTCAACTGTCAGGCATTGAGACCTATCGAAAGCGAACCATCCACGCCTACCACGAAATATGCATACTTTTCCATCAAGGCCATCGCAAAATGAGTCAAGTGGCATCATCTTCTCCAGGCTATGGTTATGGAAAGCAAGAAACATGCAACACACAAGCAGATTAAACCTGGAACAGGTCGGATGATAAGAAAAAACACATGCTTTCACAGAGTCCCAGGATGGTCCGCGAATCCAGCTGTGCTGTTTGGGCCAGCTTTTAAGCTGGCCCAAGCGGTCATGTAAAGCTCTTAAGCAGTCTTAAGCAGTCTTAAGCTATTAACACCGTTGTTCTACTAGCTTAATAGTTTCACCGCTTCTTCTGATAGCTCAATCGCTTCAGCTTAATCGCTTGTTCTAATTGCTTAATGGCTTAATAGCGCATGATTTCACCACAAACATCCGCAAAATTCAGAAATATGTGGGTCAACTTCGGCGTTTTTGGTGGGTGATGTGGCAATCTTTCGACACCGATCAACGGAGGTCCCATCATTGTATGTGTACGCACCTGCCAGTAGCTTCTACCCCCACGTTTCGTGAACATCTAAGTTTGTGTGGTTTATATAAGATCATTGTAAGATCCCATGTTTCTGCATGACATGCGAGAGTTTTTGGGTTGATGAAATCCAGATTTACAGGGGCCTCTGCGATCCCCTTGCAAGGTACGCATCACCTCAGACCTGACCAGCTGACCAGCTCTTGGAATGGGATCAAATCAACCCCCAAAAAAAATAAACGATTTTAATATGGGAAAATGATGGAAAATGGATGAAAATGGCTTAATGGTCTTACAGAAAAAGACAAATCGGAACGGGTCAATAGTGTTGATCACCACAAATAAATGGGTATGGATGGGTTTAGATTAGAAATGAACAGTTTGGAGGGCCCATGGGTATCCGAATTTTGAGTGATACCCACATGATAAGACGTTTCAGGCCCAGGCAACCACCAATGTCGCTCATCTCGTACACCATCAGTTTCAAGGGTACTTCTTCTGTTTCCTGTCTCATATCCAAATAACCCTTTGAATTGGAATCTTATCGCTATGTCATGCTGGGCCAATATCAACACCCTGCTGAGAGGTTGACAGGTCTTTCGCATGAAAGGACCCACCTGAGCCATGGCCATCTGGAACCCTCCAACAAAGAAACAAGTTACTGTACTGTTCTCATTGGACTCACTGGTGGAAGATGAAACAACTTATTTTCTGCAGGCTGCAATAGTAAGACCCCATTCGAATAACCATTGTCACAAGCCAACCACTCCAGATGTCATGTTTTCTCGCAGCTTGTTTCTTGGAGGCATGCACTGCATTACTACCAAAAAAGAACAGGTGAATGCTGTTTTTTTCCTTCTTAGTTTCCACTGATGTAACCAACCTCTTCCGCCAACGCTTCCGCAAACCTTGCGCGGATGAAAACGTAGCTTCCGCGAGCTCATGTCTTCATATATCGCTTCCACGAGCTTACGCGTTGGTAGGTTTGGGTAATTTGCTTCCGCGACCTAGATGTAGAGGATGTTTTTCTATCTTATGGGAGTATTATTGTGTTTTTTTAAGCTTCCACGACACTTCCGCGAAACTTTCCTTCCGCGGTGCTTCCACACCCTTCCGCGCGTGCAGCCACACGCACGTACTCACCCTGTTATGACTCGACGAATACTACCGAAGACTAACGATAAAAAAAACGGCTCGCAGGTGGATTGTGTGTCTTTGTCTTTCAATACTTTATCACCACTCTTTGACCCCGAGGAGGGGTTTTGTGAATATCATCACATGCTCCAGCATGTTCAACCACAAACTTCGGATTCAAAAATATCCTTAGTGCTTTTTGCTAGGACATATGAAGACAAATGAAGACATATAAGACATATAAAGACATATAAAGACATGAATCATATGCAGATAAATATAAATCATGTAAGGTAATGTAATACAAATATCAGTTTAGGTACGGATATGGGTGACATCCCAGGGTTCCATTGGGCCCTCCCCAGCGCACTTGGGCCCCTCTGCTGGAGAGCTGTACAGCCCAGACATTCTGTGCCTGGCACAGGGTTCGACGGAAGTCTGTGAGCCTTTTGTAAAACTGAAATACCCGACATTCAGAATCTGTGTCTAAAATTGTGTAGATACATCATGTATCAAATTGTTTATCGTTATATTTCATATAATCATCATGTGCATTTACCTGTACCTATACATTGTATCTCTCCCTGTGTGTGCACCTGTGGTTCATGCCATCAGGGCCGGCAGCACGCCATGAGATATTCCGCGTCATACAACAAGCTGCTGTAGGGAGGTACAGGGTCATTCTTCAGGGCTCCCAACACATTTCCTCTTACGCATCCCCCAAATTAATTGGGGGATCAATTATCCAAATCATTTAATTAACCAAATCATGTTTTAATCTGTATAGTGTATAACCACCAAAATGATGCTTCACTCTCCCACAATGGGAAAAAACTTGGTGAAACCGGCGCCCCTTTAGGTTGCTGCCCCGGTTTTCCATTCGCGCCTGAAGACGCTCGTGCCACCGTGCAGGTCGGAACAGTTGCAACGTCCCATCGCACCTGGTAACTGGATGTAACTGGGACGGTGGTTACTGAACCATCCTTGGGGAAATATGGGAAAAACACATAAATTCACCGTGTAAACCTTGACGTAGGTGGTATAGAGCGCTTCAAGAATATAAGTGGCATGAATGATACATCATCCAAATAGCACCATGTTCAGAGTCTGCCACCATCAAACATAGATCATTTCAGGAAATAAAAAACATCAAACACTGCTGGAAACGTGGATAGGGCTGTTCAAACCCCTGGTGCCCTATTGTCCACGTTATGGTTCAAAAATGAATGAACAGCCTGCTACCATCTTTTTGGATGTGAATAAATACCTTAGTTTGATGGCCTTTGGGTTTTGCTCCATATCAAATTGAAACCGAATCAAAGTAAAAATTGCCGCCAAAACGGATGATAGTCATGAGGAAGAGTCGTTTAAAAACACATCATCAACCCTGCGGTCTTGAGATATACCCAGGAGAGATCTTCTTATCATTATAAGCAAAATCAATCGGCAAAATCACCTTTATCATCATTTGTCTTATGCCAAAAAAATGGATCTGTCCAACCCCATTATATGCCTTTGTTGAGCCTGAGGAGAAAGATCTCGTCCTTCACAGCGGAATTCACGGCGGATTCCAAGCGGAGGAAACTCTGCGTTGTCGCGGAGAGGCCCGGGCCCAGTGGAAAGAACTCCTCCACCTGACGGCGCGCCCAGTGATCCCTGTGCAGGGATGTGCGGGACCCACGTAGTGATGAATATAAACTCTATATATACATATATGTTTGTGTGTGTGTATGTGTGTATGTATTATATTATATATATGATATATGTATATGTATTATATCTCATATTATATACATATATATATACATAATTGTATATAATATCATATGTGTATATATATAGAGAGAGAGAGTCATGTATACATATATATATATAACTGGGGATATTCCATAGATAACTTGCGTCTACTCTGGTTTCTACCTACATGTTTACAATGCACATGACAGCGGTGGACAGAGTTGGATGGCCCTGGAAGTTGGATGAAGTTTGGTCGATGTTGAGTACCCTCTGGTAATTTAACGTAGCTATTGAAAATGGCCATTTGTAGTGAGTTTTCCCATTAAAAATGGTGATTTTCCATAGTTATGTTAGTTTACCAGAGGGTAATCTGATTGTGAACCACTATGGCCACTATGGTTGGGATATCACGAGCTATCGCCACATGACAATTTACTTGCTCATTCACAAGCTTGCGGCATGATCCAAGTGGTGAAATTCAAGAAAGGTCGTTGAATCCAGAGAACATGGGGAGAACATGGGTAGAACAGTATGCTGTAACTATATATACACATCTCATGGTTTGGATTGTGGACCTGATTTACAAAGAAAACGTGCCAACTTCAGGAATCATCTACGCACGTATCATGTTGTGAAGTTAGACCCTAACGTGAATAAAGTATAATAAAATGTTGCCAATTGCCAATCCAAGATCTTTAAGGTACGCAGTCATGTCCGAACCAGATTTTTTGAGAGGATGCATTCCAGAAGACGCGAAACAGGTCAGTTCACCAACCTGTCATCCCGTTCTAGAGATTGGTTGAGAGCGGCGGGGTTGTAATATCGGATTAGTCCAAGACCGCAATGATCATTGATCATTTGTCCATCCCCATGACAATATTATTATCATCAACCAACTTATATACCTGTCTGCTGCATGTCTGAAGAGCCCAATGGAAGTGCTGGTCCACATTGACATCCCTTTCACTGATCACTGTAACCTTCGCTGAGAAATGGTTGTGCGTCCCGAACTAGTGGGTAAACAATCGTCAATGATCATGATAGCTGGTGCAAACCCAACGTTTCATGGCATATCAGCATATCTCGATGTATGGTTCAACACCCATCTTGATAAATGATCATTATGCTGTTTATGCAGTAATGACCAGTTTTGGCAAATGGTGATAAGTCACAAACTTTGAATAAACCCATTTTGGAGGTTCCCGTTACCAACCATCATTCGGTTGGCCGTAAACCCATGAATACTTGTCTAAAATAATCTCCAAGCTTGTGGAGTAAAATACCGATCAAAGTGTTTAGGCAGTTTAATTTCTGACGCGTCAAGCATCGATTCCTCACGCCTTGTCAAAGGTCATGATGAGCCACCCGCAGCCCAGCCAACTCCATTGCTGACTGTGCTGATCTAAGAGTTGCAGTGGGGATGGGTGCGTACCGTCCATACCTATGGTCTTCCATGCCGGGGATGTAACGTCCAGCTATACAACATCAATTTTAAGTCTGAAAAACCAGGGAGAACTGAACTATACCCTAATTGGAAGGAGATGACACCCTGCGAAATTCAACGACTGAACCCGTCCCAAGATGGACGATTGGAACATCATCAAACCCAAGACCATGTTGTCAGGGTTCGATCTCAGTGTTCAGATGGTTTCAGGGAGGTCAACCAATGCAAAGCACCCGAAATGACCCAGCAATTTGGGAATGGCTCACAAAAGTGTGCCAATGGACCCAAGAAATTGGCCATTCTGAGCATAATCCGCCGATTGTGGGAGTCAACAATTTTGAGCGAGCATGTGTATGTACAGAAGAATCGTGTTTTTGTTGGATCTTGCAAACCAGAAGTTGCATTACCCCTTTCACCGGTTGAATCTGCTAAAATCTGGATGTTGTGGAATGAAATTCTCAGTTCACATTTTCGTCGGTTAACCCCACCGTTCGTCAGTTGAATGCAACTCTCACTCGTTTGGTCTGATTTAATCCCGGTGTTTGTTGGGTGAAATCTCCAAAGTTTGTGAACATTTCGCTGCAGATGATATTGCCCACATGCCCAGATGAATTTTGTCTCAAAATCTCCCATGTGCCAACAGCAATGGCAATCCTGTCACTGATCATCCAACGGCTGGGGCCATTTTCCACTCAACGGGCAATCGCATGGCTGCCCACCGTCGAGGCTAGTGCAAACAGATCAAGGTGAGCCAAATGGCCCAAAAGTTGTGCCCATGCGCTCGATTGAACCAACGAATAGCGGAGCTGCCTTCAACAGAAATGGGGATTGAACCAAGTCGGATATCGGGAGTCTTTCTGGGGAAACCATTTGTTGGACTGCATCAGATGGCTTTTGGGCCACCTAGGCTCCCCTGGCACCATGGCCCCCTGAACTCAGCAAAGCTAGAAGTCATGGAACAAAACTCGTGCAGCGACATGGGGATGGGTCAAACTTGGTATTGCTCATTGTAGATACCTCCAAGAGAAGTGATTTTTTTGGTGGGATGTCAAATAGGAGATACATGGAGATACTCAACCCTTCAACTTTGCTCCAATTATCTCTAATTGAACCCCTCAAGCTGCCAAAGTGACTCTTACCCAGTTGAGTGCCACAAAATAAGTGGATATGGTCGAACCACCAAATTGGAAAATATATAGGACAAACAACATAGGTCAACAAGTATTTTAACGGAGCTGATCCAACTTTAAATCTTGGGCAACTTTGACCCATCCATATTGGGCTTGTCTCAAACTGGATACCCCAAAAATCCAAGGATGTATCATCAATCCCCCCATTAAGATTGCGCTTGGGGCATCACGTTTGGACAACTACCATAGATGTGGAGTTTGCCCACCATTTTTTCTGATCCTTTTCCGAGAGAAACCATGGGTCATCTATGATACCCTAGGGCCCTAGGGTAAATCTCAAAAAATCACTGACTCGACCCATCTCCATGTTCTTTGTAAACAGATTTGGCCCTGCAGCCGGAGCTTCTGACTACAATATCCCCCCGTCTATTATGTGTGTATATATATATATGTATTATATAACTTCAAACCATAAACCAGATTCTCAAGCGGGATTGGCATGATAGGCCAAAATTAAGAAGGACTCTTCGCACAGAAATTCAACAGTGGCATCTTGTCTGCATTCCGTTTCATAGTTGAATTTTGGGGGTCGGGACTGCGAGGACCTTGCAACTTGTGTCAATCAAATCACACACAGAAGCACGAGGCTGCACAGCCGTTGGGGAGCAGCTACTGATTTTCAGCTCCCTTAGTTTTAGTATAGACCAAAATTCAGCTGCGCAGAAGCTTTGAACTTGGAAGACATAGACGTTCAATGACTCTCAAACATAGGTCTAGCTCAAAATTGGCAACCTCCAACATTTCATTGTTCATTCATACTGATTGTTCACATATAACCAAACCTTCTGCTGCGGCGGAGAAGACATCAGATTCCTCACAAAGCAGTGAAAGAAAAGGAGCCTAGTTGCTGGTTTCAAACATCAAAAGATGACTTGGCTAGGTCCTCCATGGCTAACTTTAGATTCCCTCAAAAGGTTACATGATTCTCAGTGGGATATCAAAAAATAACCATTTGTTTGCCATCAAAATGGCTAGAAAATCACCCAGAATCACCCACCTTTCACCTGGCAGCCGCAATTCGCCAACGGTCAACGGTACCGCCACAACAATGGTTAACAAACCCAGAAGTATGGCTTCAGGAGGGGTTTGATGGCCCCTTAACAAGGCCTTATTTGTTGGAGTGCTTGTCCGATGGCAATTTCCGATTAGATAACATGACAGCATCCCCATGTTTGATTCTGGTGAAAGTCCCTCTGCTTCTGGCATCTTCACTGCATGCCTCAGCTTCTCGCCCAGGCATCCACGACCTGCGATCGGGGTTACATGGTTTGTTTATGTTTGTTTTAAGCAACAAATTCATGGGTCATCTCAGATACCCTGCAAACAAATCTGAAAAAAAAGCTGGGTACTATAATATCAGTGAGTTCATGCACAGTAAACATATGAAACAAAATTCATTTATCTTCAGCCTGGGATTCCATCTAATTTTGGACAGTCAAAAATTTGGTCCAATTCCCCAGTTTGGTTGATGTTGCTAGGTGGGATATATTACCATGCTTTGTCAAACCGTCCACTTGGGTAAACTGGTAACTGTATGTCACTGCAGATCATCGTCCATTGCAAGGGGTGAGAAAATGAACATAAAACCAGCCACCGGCTTCGATATGTTCGATTGAAACCAACCGAGTCATATTTCCAGTTTCCAAGGCAACCCAATTCCAGAACTTCGGCCAGCAAATAAAACAAGTATTGCAGATGCGGATGGCTAAAACTTGGCAGTAGAACTTGTCCTATCTATTTCCATCTATAGGCGGCTTTCCCATTGAAAAACATAAATCCATGGCCAGCCAGGTTTGCTTTCTGGGGAACATGTCAAACCGGTGTGAGACGCCATTTGATGTTTCTCTCCTGGTTTCCTTTCGGACCACGCTGTAGTAGTTTCTGAAATCCCATGTTTGCTACCTGAAGTTCAGATTCCAGGCAGATTCCGTGTTGCGTTAGAAACTCCAATCTGAATCTCTGTCGGATGAATTCACTATCCTTTTTTCTTAATTCGCATAAATGTTGACGTTAACTTCATTACCCTGTGGTAAACTAACATGGCTATAGAAAATCACCATCTTTAATAGGTAAATCAACTATAAATCAACTATAAATGGGCCATTTTCAATAGCTATTTTGACATAACCAGAGGGTATCATCATCATGAATCACCATTAATCACCATTAAATCACCATTTTCCTATGGTTTTCCCTATGGTTTTCCTAGGGTAGCTATGTCACTTTGAAATTTCAGCCATGAGATCATGTCAAATGCGCCCGGACCTCTGTGGTGGGCGCCGAGTTCACCGGATCCAAATCACGACTGAGGCGAGGTCCAACATGTGGTGAGTACCCACTGGTAAACTAACATGGCTATAGAAAATCACCATTTATAATAGGTAAATCAACTGTAAAGGACATGTTCAATAGCTATTTTGACATAACCAGAGGGTATGGTATGGTACTCTTGGCCAATGACTTTCCCAATAAAGACGAGTTTTACCATTGTCGATTAGGGCACAGGATTCATGGCGATTTCCCAGCAAGATAAGGGGCTGACCCTGTGACCCTAGAAAGAAGCCCCACCAGAAGTAACCTCTCAGTATGATCATTCCCATCCAGGAATGTCCTATCCATTCACCAGTTTCAAGGATCATTTCAGCCCCGGTCCCTGGATATGGGTATTTAATCCAACAAACTTCCAATATCTGTGGTCCCAAGCCTTGTACCCTGGTTTTCACACAAGAAACAAGTTGTTTACGGATGTTCGAGTATGGCGGCAACCGGCGAACCGGGCCGTGAACCGGCAAACTGTAGCCGTACGGCTGCCCCCCTCCACGGTTCCACGGTTCCACGGCTCAGCCGTGAGCCGTGCGGCCACGGCTGGGCTCCACGGTTCCACGGCTCAGCCGTGGATTCGTGGAGCGCAGCCGTGGCGGCTCAGCCGTGGAACCGTGGAGCCCAGCCGTAGCCGCACGGTTCCACGGCTGAGAATCATGATATTTGCGTATATACTTAAATATACATATAACTATAAATATATGATATATATATATAACAAAGATATACTACTACTACTACTACTACTACTACTACTACTACTACTACTACTACTACTACTACTACTACTACTACTACTATACTACTACTACTACTACTACTACTACTATACTACTACTACTACTATAATACTACTACTACTACTACTACTACTATAATACTACTACTACTACTACTACTACTACTACTACTACTACTACTACTACTACTACTACTACTACTACTATATTACTACTACTACTACTACTACTACTACTACCACTACCACTACCACTACCACTACCACTACCATTACTACTACTACTGCTACTGCTACTATTACTACTACTACTACTACTATTACTACTACTACTACTACGACGACTACTACTACTACTACTACTACTACTAATAGTACTACTACAACTACGACGACGACTACTACGACTACGAGGACGACTACTACGACTACTACGACTACTACGACGACGACGACTACTACTACTACTACGACTACTACTACTACTGCTACTACTACTACTACTACTACTACTACTACTACTCCTCCTACTGCTACTGCTACTGCTACTGCTACTGCTACTGCTACTACTACTACTACTACTACTACTACTACTACTACTACTAATGCTACCGCTTCGTCAGGAAGGTCGTCAGAGGCATCGGCAACACGTACAGGTGAGAGTGGTGGCGACATGCGCCTAAGCAGCCAA